GCCTGTAGATCCCATACCCTCTTGCCAAGCACTCTAGCGCCTTCGCGCCCAGACCCGGCCGGTGAGCTGTATGATTTGTCCACTCTTCTTCTTGGATCTAACAAAATCTTCCTCGTTGCGGAACACAAATACCCCCAGACCGGGGTGGAGTTCTGACTTTACTGCCCGAGCTATGGTTTGGGGAATGGCCGCCATCTGCTCTTGATATTGGGCCTCCTGGTTTCTCATCTGGGTCGCTAGCGTCGCCATTTGCTCTTGATACTGGGTCCTTTGGTTTTCCATTTGAGCCTCATGGTTTGCCGCTAGCGTCGCCACCTGCTCTTGATGCTGGGTCCTTTGGTTTTCCATTTGAGCCTCATGGTTTGCCGCAAGTGCCGCCATCTGCTCTTGATGCCGGGACTCTTGGGCTTCCATTTGAGTCCCGTGGTCTGCAGCTAGCGTCGCCATCTGCTCTTGATGTCGTGCCTCCTGGTTTCCTGTCTGGGCGGCGAGCGCTGCCATCTGCTCTTGGTGCCGGGACTCTTGGGCTTCCATTTGAGTCCCGTGGTTTGCAGCTAGCGTCGCCACCTGCTCTTGATGTTGCATTTCCTTGTTTCTCATTTGAGTCTCATGGTTCTCCATCTGCCCTTGGACTGCATTTTGTAGGGCTGCGACGGTATTGTTTATCCCCCGGATCAATGCTCTTGTTTCTAAGTTAGAATCTCTTGTCTCCCGGTTGGATTCCCGAGTTTCCCGTAGGTCCTGGCCCAGATCATATGGAATTTTCTTGTTTTGAGTAGAAGAAGAGCGTCCTTTCATGCTTCCAGCTCTTGCCTTGCCCTTGGCAAATGGTCTGGGCCGTGATGGACCTTCCCCCGGGTCGCTTTCAGATGCCTCTTTGGGTTTGAGAGAGTCTCGGTGGCCATCGTTCGAGAAAGGAGGGCCATTCACCTTCTAGCCGGATCCAGGACCATATCGTCAGCAGGAACGGAGATTGAATTATTCCAGTTACCATGACCATCTTCCTAGATAGGAGACTCGACATTACCTACTTTCGCGCGCCTATCTGGTTGACATGGACTTGCCCTAGTTCCCACATGGGCTTGAGACGGATCTCCCGTAGTTGAGGATTGATTTCCAATGCTGTGATGGCTAACCGGGAGTCTGCCAAGATTTGTAGGACGGGCTTGCCCTGGTATTGGGCTCACAGCCTTGATGGAGGTACTCATGGTAGGTTGCGCGTAGCTGGGAACGCTCCGCGGCCGAGTTGTCGCGGTGTCAGCCATAGTGTGATGACAGGAGGCCTGGTTATGGACAAAGAGAGATTATGAAGGACTAGGCAAGAAGGAGTTGATATGAATGACAAGTCCATGCCTAAAATCTACTCTGATATCTACTCAACCCACCCGAAATTTCCCACGAAGATATGATTTGTCGATGAAGGAGCCTAGCTATGTCCGGTTGAAGTACGAAATGATCTTTCCGGTGCGGCCTCCTATTACCATCATCAGAGGCGTGCTTCATGTTCTTAAATGTCCCATGACCCGCAAATAGATCCGCCAATGGAGGATTTACTATTTACAACGCCCCGGCAGGTGAACATCTCAGCGGGGATGGACACAAATCATGTGTGAATGCAAGGTGAAGACTTTAGCACAGAGCAGGTTCAAAGGGATCTCCGATCGACAGTTTCTATAAACCTATCAACAAGTCGGCGATGATGTCTTGTTCTTTGCTCTGGGTGGGGGGCCGTACGTGGACGCCGGTGATTAACAGACATAAAACTAGTGGGTTCAAAGAGGACAGGGGCTCGCCGTGGCTAGATACCTATAGGTTCATAGCCGTCCTTGGAGTTCCTTTCGCAGCCAGTCAGCCCGGGTCTCGACAGCCTTCCTGTGGAGGTTGTCCTTTGTGCTCGGATCATGGGTTCGTCTCTAAGCCCGATAAAGGGAGACGATCCTCCAATCACGCAAGGCTTAACATCACCCACCATGTCTGCCTAGAATGGCACGCAGCATGTCGCAATGGACTAATGTAGTGTTGGGCATTAAAACGTGCAAAGCGCGGGGTAAGGGTGACTTTGCAAGCTCCTTCACATAGGCCGAGCGATCGGGGAGTGGTTGCCTCACCTTAGTTTAACTGATTTCTCCGCTCGCTTAAAGACTAACGCAACATGGAAGAACGCTCGATGCAGACGGCTGATACGACGGCGTGATGAAAAAATGCCGAGTTTCGACCACTTCCACGACGGCGATCCTGCATAGTGAGAGCATAGTGAGCTTTGTGCCGCCAGGCCGTCAGGGGAGCTCAAAATTCAACAACAATTTCGGCAAGGCGAGCTCGGCGATGCAAACCGCTCTCAAAAATATAAACATTCCAATGCGCTCGAATCTGTTGGCGGCATGGGTTCTCCCTACCGATTTCATTCTCCTACCATGAAAGGATTCCATTGCTTGCGTAGGCACCGCCGTGCCTTGTGAGCGCGAACGCTTCCCGCCTCCCCTCTAAGGCTGTTTGTTAGACACAGCCTAGGAGGAGACCAGTCACGAGTTGCACGAGCGCGACTCACCACACTCATTGGACACATGGAAGGATCCACAGGAGAACAAGGCTGGGTCACGTGATACGCTCTGCTGGCTCTGCTGGCATTGTTGGCCCTGTTTACAGAGCGCACAGAGCGCAAGCATTATATATACACCTTCATTACCCTAGACAGTTTACACTCTCTCCGTAGCCAGCTCATATTAGCTATTGAACCATACCGTTCTTAGTAACGACGACTGTTCATACCTTGCGTCCCTTACTCCCAGCTCATTCTATCAAGGATCTGTTACTGAGGAGCCTAACTTAGTTGGGCGATACGGCAGCAGCTCTAACACTGTTCTACCGTTGAACCTCCCTATATGCAAATACCTTCTCATCCTCGGGTCGAGCATCTCACTGTTTTAGAGATATTATTTAGACAACCTCATGAGTGATGTAATATCGAGCAGGACAGCGAATGATGACTTTGCTGGGATATTTATATACTGAGATACCCACTAATAGTGTAACATATCACAAGAGTCTGGAAACCGTTAGGGATTTCTTGGCAACTAGGTAGGGTCTAGCGATAAGTGCATATATTGTAACAAGGCAAAGTGGCTGTGCTGGGATGGTATGGGGGGGGTAGCAGGAAGGAGAGTTGTCTAGTCACATGTCGATTCAAAATGGGCTAAGGGGGAGTGCTGAACTGTTCACAGTGCTGGCAGTGTGCCATTCTGTACAGATTTGACAGAGTATTCCATGTTTTTGATGTTGTCTACCTATTCCTGAGTGTTTTATCAGCCTTTTCCTACTTCTTAACACCGTCGCCGAGCTAGGCGTTCGCTGCCCTAGCCGCTGCCTCTCCGGGGGTGGTGGTGGTGGTGTTGCTCTGTCAGTGTCAACTAGAAACGCGTTCTCGATTCCCGACCTATTGGATCGGCCCCCGTGCGTTGTTGTACATGCATGCCGAACCTTGAAGTGCTCTGTTACACTATAAGATTGGTCTATAAACTTACTATATTTCTTGAAGAGAGATACATGCAAGTGAGCGAAAGTATTTAAATGAGAGTATGGGACCGAAATTAGGGCTAAGCTGAAGTGAAGGGGAGAGGTGAGGAGGTGAGTACTGTGGCCGGTAGCTTAAGGAGGGACCTTTGCAAGACCAAGTCGAAATTTCAGCCCGGTTCCATAACACGTAAATCTCAACCTCCTCAAGTTGTTTGCAGTATTTCTGTGGAGGTGACGCTCTGTGGGTCGCGGCTCGATAAGACAGGCAGCGCCGAGCCCACTAAAGCTATATCCATTTCGCTATGGAAGGCTCACGCCATTTTGTCTTGACATTTTTGCCGGTTTCTGGTCAATTAAATTCATTCACACTCTAGATTGGGTTAGGCACGTCACCTTGCGGACGAAGGGTTCAGACGGCAGAGTGACGGCCCAAAGGGGCCCCGAGCCCGAATTGGCTCCAATCGCCCCTTGTCGCTCAGTAGTCTCTCCGATTCAGACAGAATTGAGCCCCTCTGAATACTGAGGCATAGACTTCAAGTTTCGGCAGTGTTTAATTGCTGTTCGTCGGGAATACGTGCAAATCGGAATGTTATAGGCGCAAGTGTGAGCCAGGTTGAGTTCCTTACTCTACGACATACCGATTCGAACGGACCTTGTCGCACTGCCAGGGTTAAAGTCGCATAATTCAAGGTAGGCATCTGTCGTATCTCGGGAACGTGGTACGAGAACAGGAACGAATCGCCTCAATGGCGAGGAATGGCTGTAATAGCTCAAGGTGTTGTGTCTATCTAGTGGGCTGTCTCTGCAGGAGTGAGTCTGCAAGATGAAAGAAGAAGAGGGGGAAGAGAACTAAGAACATAGGTTGTGCCAAGCCGTGCTCCTTCCGTCATATGAGAATCATATCATGTGACAGCATCAGAGTAGGGGTAGGAATCTACTAGGTTCCCTGAGGCTTGTCTGAGAGAGATGCCTTCTGAGAAGCACGTGCCGCCGACTTCTAGGGGGCCTGATTTGGCCCCGGTGCGCTGCTTAGGGAGTGCTCAGGGAGCGCTCGGTGATGTTCAGCTAAGGGCTCCGTTAAAGCTCTGGTCAAAGCGGCCTTCGCTCACCCTCTAGGATCAAACCGTTTATGGCAAATAGGTTTTCGTTCTCGAGTAATCTGGGTAGTCCGGCTGTGCCTGGGTGTTTGGTGTAAGCCAATCTCGGCCGCCCATATACTTCGGCCGAACTGATCCATTTCATTTTGTTGGCTGATAGCATCCAACTACTTCAGTTCGGGCTAATCAAAGTTGCCTTGACAGGAGGAGCATTGAATACACATATCTACGGAGTATATATGTTAACCATATCCCAACGAGCTTGACGCAAACCATAGACGTCTTGGAGCCTGGGACTAAGAACTAGCACAATGGCAATTCTATCAGAAATCCTCCGCTTCGTTCTACCGCCCACCAAAGCCGAAATGACAGAGTTTCTCAAGCTCCGGCAACACGTTTCACGTTGCTGCGGCATCCACGACCAATACTTCGGATACATCACCCCAGTCAAGTCCTCGGCCTTGCCGGTCAAAGAGAATGAGATGTGTTGGGTCATTCGTTGGTTTTCCCCAACTTTCTATCACACCCCTGCATGGGGCATTCAATCACAAATGAGGATGAGGTCGCTGATACTGTTCGCGATGGCCCCAGAATGGCCGCATGGCTCCTCCAGCCTCAGCCAAGATGCAAAGCTAACAGCCCAGCTGAAGAAGCTCACATCAAGGCCCACCACCGATCAGACAACAAGAGGAGCGACGTCTCTTCTCTTCCGATTCGAAGAATCCCAAGTCCCAGAGTTGAAGAAGGCACTGGAAGCTCCTGTTTGTGAGTTTGTAAGTCCAAAAACTCTTCCGTCTCTATACATGCATCTATCATAATCTATCTCTGCTGGTTTCCTTTTGTTGTTTTCATATCACTAGCCCCGGCCCTTTCCCCTTGCAAACCGCAAATACCCTAAGACGAGAGAGAGAGAGAAAGAGAGACACAGAGAAAATTTATGGAACATCCATGAATCCCAGAAACGAAAGAAAGAAAGATAAAACCAAAATATGTAAAGCACGCAAGACAACGCAAAAAGCACAGACAGACACGCAGAAGAAACAAACGCATGGTGTATATATGTGAGGAGGAAAACGAAAAATGAGAGAGAAAAAACTAACAGCAACAAACTCGAAAAAGGCAATCATAAACCTCACGCCGAACCACCCATCCAGAACAGCAGACTCTCCCTTCACCAAGTCCATGCACAAGACGTACACGGACTGCTACCACTATCCGGGCTTCACGGGCGGGAACTGGTCGTACGCGGTGAACACGAATGACACGAGCGGCGTGGCTCTGGCTCCCGACGACGGTATTGATGGTGCTGGCGGTGCTGCTGCTACGACTGACAAAGGGGATCATCAATGGAAGGGAGACGAAGAAGAAGAAGAAGAAGTTCCAGAACCCGAGCGGCGACTCGCGTGCTACTACTTGGGATGGGATACGATTGAGGTTAGTGACTCAGTGTCGTCACCGTCGAGCGTTCCAGCTGATGATAACAAATGCAGCACCATCAAGAATTTTCCAAAACCCCCCTGTTCTTCGAAGAGATCAATAAACTTGCGCCGTACTTCGGGCCCGGGACAGGAGCGTGGTATGTCATGTTTGAGAGGCACACCAATTCTCTGGAGTCGGGACCGTGATAGGTCGCAATTGCAGACTAGGTAGCCTTTGCTCGTTGATTTCGTGTTTCGTTAAGATTGGAGGATCTCTGCTGAATTTCAATGAGTACAATGCAATGTGTCTCTGCTTCCAGCCCCCCACAACCACATGTATCCTACGCGGCCGAGACTCTCGCGTCTTCTAACAATCCAACGGTCTTTGCAAAGGAATGTTCACAAGACTGAAAGCCAAAGGCATTGCTTTCCAAGCCTCCAATAATGCTTGGATTTCAAAACCGCCAACGATCCAATTTTGCTTTGCTGATTCATAAACCAGCGTCCTTAAGACTACGCTCAATGCCCTTCTTGCGCTGAGTATCAACCACCAACAAGCTCCGCTCTTTCAGGACAGCTTCGAGGGTATCAACAACTTTGTAAAAACTGCTTGCCGCTCCCTTCTCCTGTGTAAACTTGATAATACTCAAATTGGCTTTTCGGCCATGCTCAAGGACCGAATACAGATAGGCATGGAAATGAACGGGCTTGAGTTGGAGATCTGTTCATGAGTCAATCAGTTTGCATCAAATCAAACAACACACGGATTACTCACAGTTTGATACATCAACGCGCCCTCTCACAACGTCACCGCCTCCCCGTCGTTCCGACACCACATCTCTCAATCCATACTTGCGCCAATCTTTCAAAATCTTGATAAGCTCTTTCTTCGCTTTTCCTTTGCTGATTTGAAGACAAATCACCCGGGTTGCGGGTTTGATGTGGAAGAATTTGGCGAACCAATTCTGGCTAATTTCAATAGGAGCAACTGCAGCTGCTGCAATCGCAGCATCGACACTCGTCGCTGGAGGATAAGATTTCCGGGCTACAACTCCAGCACCTGCGCTGACCTCTTGATTTGGCTCATTCGATTCCGTGCCGTCCGATAGGTCTCGCACAATGCGATGCTCAGTCGTGGTTGCGGAGACGTCGTCCTTGGGCTTGGTTGTTCTGGCAAACATCTTCTGGAACCATTTTCTCTTCTTCTCCATGTGTATTTCAATGTCACCCGACTGTGGTTCGCTGCCTTTGACCGTAGAAAGCGTCGAAGAATTGCCGGATTCGCTTGGCTGGACAATTTGGGAGGTATTGGAATACATATCTTGCGCGATCTCTTCTGTAGACTTGCTAGCATCTAGCGGATCTTGAGGACCAGATCCACGTTTTCCAAGCCAGGACCATTTGCGTGCGGCATTGGACGACGTTGGAAAAGCCTTCTTCTTTGGCGACCCCGGATTCTCGTCGATTGTGTCAAGTTCTCGTTTTTCATAGAGGCGTGCGTCGTACCCTGCACGCTCATACGATTCGATTGGACCACCTCTTAGTGAATTTATCGGCACAGCTTTGCTCTTTTTCACTCGGAGAGGCTCAATTCGAGCGAATGGTGACGTTGGATCTGGAGTAACGAGGCGAATTGTGGTGTCCTTTTGTGCCTGAGGGGTTTTGAACCTTACGGGATCCGATGCTGCTCTAGAGCTATCCTCTCTGTTGCGTTTCAGCTCTTCCATTGTGTCGGCTGGTGATATAGTACGATAATACCTGCTCGACCCAGCGCCATGAGTTGGATCAGAGGCCGCTCGCTTATCACACATTCTCTGCTTATCCAACTCAACATCAACGCGCTTATCAACAGCAGCTAGCATGTCAGCAAGAACATTTGCATCAGCATCACCCCAGGTCTCAATGATCTTCTGCCGACGTTCTATCAATTCCTGAAGTACTGGAGTTGCAGGAAGCGGTCGATCGCGAAGGCTCTCCGGTACTTTGTAAGCATGCGCTGCCATAGATGTTGCAGATGAATCCAGCGGGGGAGCTGGGCTCACTTCGCTGACCGTAGACACTGACGATCGATTGAAAGCTTCTTCACAGATCTTGCCAAGTTCAGCACTGACCTTGCGCGTTTCGTCTTTCCAGTAATAGCTGGCCACACGCGGCTTCTTCACGTCAATCTCAGAGCTGGATTTGCGAGGACGATAGGCTTGAGAAGGTGTCGGTAGACTCGGATTGCTCTGCGTCTCAGATCTTCCGTTTGTGGTACTGCGGGTGCCAGGACGGTCTGCAAGATGAACATCCGGGATCAATGCTCGAGCACGGGGGTTAGCGGTACCGGAGGAATTCTGCCGCCGGTGTTGGAAACTGACTTGTCGCTTGTAGCTCATCGACTTTCGGATACCAGGAAGACGCCTCGTGCTGGACAGGGAGCTTTTTGATGTTGCTGTCGAGTACGAGGCACGCTTCTTCTGGATGAGTTTCTCGAGCTCTTCTGACGTGAAACTTGGGAGAGCGGGCACATCCGGCCTCAATCTATCCACAGCTTTATGCCTCACGCTGCCAGTAGAGCCCACAGACCGACCCCCTGGAGTGGCTGGACGGTGGCGAACGACGACTGTGGGAGGCTCGAGAGTGTCTCCAGCGATTGGGGTTCTGGAAGCTCGATAAGGATCGTAGCTGCTCTGCGTAACTTTGCTTGCAGCAGTGCCAGGATTCTTGTAATATCCTTCTCGCCTATTGTTGTCATCGCTGACAATGGAGAACTGAGAAGTTCGTCGATTGTGTCCACGGCCATTGGGGCCACGCTTGGGCTTCGGGATCGGTTTGCTGACATGATGATAGTCACTGGCAGAATAATGAAGGGGGTCGCCTGGGTAGTTCTCAAGCTGGTCATCTCGAAATTTAACCAGTGCCCAATAGAAGAGTTTCTCATGGTTTGGTTCTTCGCTCATGAGTTGTTTGACCAGCTCTTCTGGTTTTTTGCCATGCCATAGTGTCGACAGGTTTCTCAAAATTTCCGTGTCGATTTCTGAACGCCTAGTAACGCGTTTGCCTTGCGCCTCGATACTCAGGGGTGGAGCTGCACCGATGAGAGGTTCGGGTGCTACCAGGCTTGCATGATACTTTTCATACTTCTTGAGAAGCGGATGGGCCCAGATCTGTTCCATGGTAATTCGTTTCTCCGGTCGCTTCTGTAGGATACGTTGGATAAGATCTGAGGCTTCCATGCTCAGAGTTGGAGGCAGGTAGTACTCTCCTTTCTTGACCAAGCGTAACGTGTTGGGCAACGTTCCGCCATCAAAAGGTAAGAAACCGTTGAGCATTGCAAACAAGATGATCCCTGTGCTCCAGATGTCAGCTTTGTCGCCGCGGTATTGGTTGCCTTGTATGATCTCAGGTGCCGCATAATGTGGACTACCGCATGAAGTGTTCAGCCATGTACCGTCGGGCTGCAGAGCTGCCATGCCGAAGTCCGCCAACTTGATATTCCGGCGGCTGTCGAGGAGGATGTTCTCCGGCTTGAGGTCACGGTGACAGATGTTGAAACGATGGCAATACGACAGACCAGCAATGATCTGACGAAAGAGTCGGACTGCTTCCTCCTCTGGTAGAGCTCCATTGCCCGAAACGTAGTCGAATAGCTCACCACCTGCGACATATTCGAGGACCAAGTAAAGCTCGCCACGGTTCTCCCAGATGTCGTAGAGGTTGATGATGTTTGGGTGTTCAATCAACTTCATGATAACGACTTCACGTTCGATACCGAATGGCATTGTTCGAGGGCCCGTGGCGATCATCAAAGCAGTGTCTGCATCGTCCATACAAGCCATACTCGCACTCTGGACAAGAGCGGCTGACTTCTTAGAGACGATTTTGACTGCCGCTGTCTGTCCAGTCACTGCATGTTTTGCCAGGCGAACTCTCCCAGTGGCTCCCTTCCCCAAGGTCTTTCCTAGTTGCCATGGCCCAACATGAGTCTTTCGTTTTCCCTTTATCGTAGCAGATGTTGCCGACGCCGTCGAGACTTGCGAGTCCCTCTTGCTCTCTGCGGCAATGTCACCTGCTACAGTGGAAAGTCGCTTGTTTTCGATGGCAGGGTCTTTGCCCACAGGTTTATCACGCACGGATAGATTGCCTTCAGGTTTGAGCGATTCGTGGTGGGGCAGACGGGGTGATGAGCTCGCGGGGGCTTGAGCGCGACTGTAGGGCAAAATCGGCGTAGGCGGTGCTCTGGGTTGAATTTCAGCTAGGGCACTTCTCTTGGTAGCTAACCTCTCTGTCTTGGATGGGAGAGGAGCGGGTCCGCAAGGTCGGTCGGACGACCTGAAGGAGGTCGGCATCATACGCGCCCTGCTGTTAACAATCTCAAGCCCGCGACGCTAGATTCTCCATCAAACGCGCCTGGAAAGGAGTTAGCCACAAGCAGAAAGCGCCCGAATTGACAACATACGTTTCTCGCCGCGTGGGTGTTGTCCGTATGCAGAGCGCAACAACAACTGAGCTGATGGAAGAAGAAGGTTGGATCACATACAACCACTCGATGTCAACATGTCAACAAAGACTGAATTGCATTTTGCACATGGGTCGAATTCTGCCAGTCCTGTGATCTGAAAGCCGCGTCCTGGATACTGCACGACCTCAACCACAATTCCTCCTTGTTCCGTTCTCTTGACGTCCGCAACTATGCTCGTCTTCCTTCTTCGCCTGGTGTGCAGTATGTTTGTTTTGGCCAGGGCCAGGTGACTGTTGATGTCAGTCTTGATATATGATTGGGTCAGGCTGAGGAATGTTGGCGCACTGAGCGCACTGGGCAATGTGAAATGTTCTAGGTGAGTCCAAAAAGCGAACCAAGTTGCAAGTACCAAAATGGGGGAGGAAGCATCCAAAAAAGAACGACTTGAGGAGCCAACAAGATCTTGATGGGACGAATGAGTTGCTTGCTCCAGCTGCAGAGAACTGAACGAATCATTCTGCAACAGCGGCAGGCGATGATGTGGGTTGGGCGGTGCATCGCATTCCGTCGATAGCAACTGCCGACAACACCTCTCGAGGGTCTTTTGTCAATTTAGGCGGCATTCTTTGTTAATCTCGATACCAAGAGCAACCAGCCGTATGAACATGACAACGGGCAGGGACTACGGAGCACTCATCTGAAGGTCTTTGACAGCCATCAACGGAATGCCTGCTTTTCACAGCATCATTTCACCCCGGGACGACACTCGTCAAACCTGGATATAGCTCAACATGATGTCCGCTGGCTTGTGCATTATGAGTGTTGGTGTGATCACCCTGTTGGATGTCAATGCCTGTCAACATAGGTACACACAGGTATCATAATTGAAGCCACAAGCCATGGTACTCCAGACACTGAAAGTAGAGTTTATATTTGGGGTCGTCTTTGATCATTGGTGTTCGTGGGCCTCTGAAAGTTCGCCAACCAGGGGCTACTTGTCCAAGTGCCAAAGGTGGGGTGATGAAGCCCTCGCCCCTCACTACCTAGCTACTTACTGTAGCTGTGCAGGTGGGGAGCCCCCCAGGAGACACGAAGCTTACCCTGACAGCTCCTAGTCAGGCCCGGAAACCGTCTCGCCGAGCCCAGAGATCGAATCCCAGCCACTCACAGTATCGAGCTTGAGCTCCCCTGCTGCATCCATCTTACGACGCCTCCTCAATGCTCCTCCTGCCGCGCAACACCTATTTGCTTCTGCATGTCATAGACTTTGGTCGATCCGGAGTGAGCAGGATATCGTTTTCGCTGCTGCCTGTTTGAACGATCTCGACCTCCTTCGATTCCCATTGTTTCCTCTTTCCATTCTCTCTTCAGCGTTTCAGAATTACCGCCCTCATCTGTCTCTACCTCAGTCCACCATGAGATGCGTCGCTATCCTCTCGACGGCAGCTATTGCCTCTGCCTTCGTGATCCCAGATCAAGCTACTTTCGAGACTTTGTCCATTGAGAATCAGGAGATCGACTACCCTTCAGAGCACCCTTTCTGGAACAAGTTGCACAAGGCCGAAAGCTTCTGGGAAGATCTTGAAGAGGAGTTCATACAGGCTGCTGAGGACGCCAAACACGCATTTGCTGAGACCGTCGATTTGGCGCATGACACCGCCGTCCGCTATGGCGAAGACTTCCAGGACGCCTTTGCTGGTGAGGCTTGGTTAGACACTGCAGAATACGATTTGGACCTATTCGAAGAGCCTCCTCATCACGGCCCACCGCATCACCCACCTCACCATGGCCCTCCGGGCAAGAAGCCTCATCACCCGCACCATCCTCACCATCCTCACCACCCTCCGAATCAGACCATCTGGGAAATGATCTCAAAGAGCAAATATACGACGAAGCTAGCCGGGGCCGTCAAGGAATTCCCGGATCTCGTCGAGCTGCTGAATGGCACCAAGGCGAACCACACCATCTTTGCTCCGACTGATCGAGCATTCGAGAAAATCCCCAAGCATGCCCCGAAGCCACCCAAGGAGTTTTTGGAGAAGCTTCTGACATACCATATTTCGCCTGAATTCTATCCTGCGCCTCGTATCCTGGTCAGCCGAACCATTCCAACCGCTCTCGAAGCCAAATTTATTGGAAAGGTACCACAACGGCTTTCCACCCAGCTCTCCCTGAGAGGACTGACTATCAACTTCTACTCTCGCGTCGTTGCTGTGGATATCCTTGCAACAAACGGAGTGATTCATGGCATCGACAGCATTCTCCTTCCTCCACCGAAGTTTGTGGATATCGTCTCGGCCCTGCCAGGCGAATTTAGCACTCTCAACCTCGCTTTGGAGAAGACTGGCCTGTATTCCGCTTTCAATGACACATCAAGCCACAGTGGAGGCACCATCTTCGCACCCTCCAACTTTGCCTTTAAGCGGCTTGGCCCGAGGGTCAATGCCTTCCTATTCAGCAAGTTCGGGCTAAAGTATCTCAAGGCTCTAATCCTGTACCATGCTGGTGACAACATTACTCTCTATTCGGACGCCATCTACAAACTCGACACGGATTCGCGCCCACCACCTCACCACAAGGTGCCCAAGGGATTCATCCACGTCGACCTTCCAACGGGCCTCGATAGCAAGAGCCTGAGCATCGACATTGCTCGATTTGGTCGACTCATCACTATGAAGGTCAACGGTTTCACTCGAGTTGCTGTCCTTGATGGTATTGCAGCCGATGGCGTCATGCACGTTATTCCCAACGTCCTCATACCGCCCAAAACCCCTGGTGGACTCGCAGTCGCTGAAGACGATATGGATCTGGAAGAGTTCAAAGCAAGGCTGGCACCGTTTGTAGAGCCAGAAGACGGTGAATGGGTCGAGGAAGACCCCGAACTATAATGATGCGAGCCGTCGAGTGTTGAAGGTTAGAGAAAGGTCCTCAGAAGCTTGCCAAATTACGTGTATAGGTGTTGGGCGGATATTATCCAATTGGGCCGCGGATGGGCCAAGCTTGATGACTTACGATTATCATTGGGATCTATAACATGAAACGATTATGGAATCTCAGAATAGCAACTCAATGCAAGCGTCGAGTCGAAGTTGTCCGGGAAATCTCATCCTAGCCTGTAGCCTCTTGCGGTCACCTCACCAATGAGCCTCCGTAATCTTGGCCGTGACACTGTCATCATCAACGTCTACGCCGTCGACAAACCACCTCCCTTCGATCCCCTCGTCTGGTACGGCGACCCCATCCCCATTCTTCCCCAATAAGATATCATTGCCACTCATCTGTCTCTTCCTCATTTTCCCAGTTTCCCGATCAAAAGTCCAATCCTCCAATCCGTAGCACCTCTTCCACTTCATGCCATCATGTTTGTCCTGATATTCGTACCAGAACTGCACGGCAATCTTGTCGTCCGTGAAGGCGAACAGCTCTTTTCGGAGCCGGTAGGATGCCTCCTTTTCCCACTTCTTGGTAAGCAGGTCGATGATTTGAGGGGTGCCGCGGATGAAGGAGGTGCGGTTGCGCCAGATGCAGTCGCTTGTGTACCCGTTGGAGACCTGTGCCGGGTTGCGAGAATTCCACATGTTCTGGGCGAATTTGACCTTTTCATGCGCAGTCTTCAGTGTAAACGGAGGTCGGAGGGCGGCCATTTTGGTGCTACTAGGAGGGAGTATATGTGTGTGTGCCCTTGTTAGTTCTAAGGGGACTAGTCCTAAGAAAGTGTTGTTTTCAGGGAAGAAAGAGAGCAGCACAAGGGTGAGCGCGATCCTGCTTCTGGAGGGAACTTTTGGTGAGATGCTGGGAAAGAACTACAGTCTAAGAGAGCAACACTCGACGATAGAAGCCCCTAATATACGTTGCAGAATCAGCAGCAAGAGATCATCAGACGACATCTCCGGGTCGCACAATGTCGTCCCACTCTCCCCCGGAGCCTATTCATTCAACCCACCTTTAGTAATGTCAAAGATTCGAGCGGGCGTCGTCCTTCGCGTTCAGCCTTGTCGGGGTCATCCAACAAGGAGCCGGACTTGACGGAATTCATCGAGGACCCCAATAGCAGCAAGACAACGTCCCACTCAATGCTGGAGGAGGCGATTGAGACCTTCCAAGAGCAGCAAGGACCGTCCATCCGGCTTGCCGTAACGACCCTTGTGGAGTACATGAGCCTTAAACCATTTGGCAAAAGTATGTTTTCCCGATCCGGTCAGTCAGATCTATTAAGCGGCGCCAACTGACGGAAAACCGGCGAGACCAGAGTCCTGACCTGGTCTAGCTTGCCTGCTTGCAACGCAAGTTCGTTGCCACGTACCCCCAGAGTGGCCCATCTAACAATGCTCGCTGGCCTCCGAGGTCTGGGGATGGAGGAAAAGCAGCATGGGAAAGAAAATGCAGCGGCAAGTTTCTTTCGCTAGACCTTGCTGACGAACACCACGGGATTGGTGGTAGGAAAGACAGAAGCCCCCCCGGACTGGGAGATCAAAATGCCCGGTAATGAAGAAGCCGACGTTCTACAGAGCACGGAGGTGAATTCCGCTCGCGAGAATTTGTCAGGACTTCGGAAAATAGTAATTCCCCTGAAAATGCACCTTTGCCTGTTGTGGACCATCGCGCGGGGCAGAGCTGTCGCTTGTGCCGCGGCCGCTTCGAAGAGATGTCGAGTCAATGAGGGGCTGCGGCAAGTCAGCAGAGCACCTCCTGCACTCTTCGAAACAGAACGATCTACGAATCTACAAAGCATCTCTGTTTCAACGCTTGATCTACCGTGTACTTTTGCCAGACATTTGGTAATAGGCTTGTTCTCACCCGAGGGGCCTGAATATCAGATTTACGATCCACAATGGCCGGACTCAAAGAAGGGGACCAATTTCCCCCCGACGTTGTCTTCTCGTGAGTCCAGTCCGTCCCGCCCGCCCCTCTCCTCTCCTCTCCTCCCCCATCCTCGTTCTCTACCAGGCGCTTGTCGTAGCAGGAAATATCCTGACGCTCTTGGTCATTTGTTTCCCCACAGCTATGTTCCCTACACTCCCGAAAGCGCGAGCATTACCAGCTGCGGCATCCCGCAAAACTACAACGCGTCGAAAGAATGGGCGGATAAAAAGGTCGTTCTCTTTGCCGTGCCCGGTGCCTTTACTCCGGGTTGCAGCGTCAGGCACCTGCCGGGCTACATTGAGGCGCTACAAGATATCAAAGGGAAGCAGGTGGATTTGGTCGCCGTGTTGGCGTATAACGACGCTTGGGTCATGAGCGCGTGGAGCAAGGCGAACGGAATCAAGGATGAGATTGTGAGTTGTGTAACCCCTTCTTTCTGTATACGCCGATTGGGGTTCTTGTTGGGCACGGACGGTCCCGAGTCCGTGGTCAAGGACCAAAGCAGCAAACAAAGCTCCTCTACCTGATCAGGTAACGACAGGATGTGATGACTACGTCCTTTGTCTGGCGATGCCTTCCTTTCACTAATCATTTCCGTGTGCAAGCTGTTCCTCTCCGACCCAGAAACCAAATTCTCGAAATCCATCGGCTGGAACCTCGGCGAGCGATGCGCACGGTATGCGATGATCATCGACCACGGCAAGATTGTCTATGCGGAGAAGGAACCTGGACGGGACATAACAGTAAGCTTCCCAATCCCTTTCCCGTATCCTTGATGCAGGTCGCGCGCAATAGGGGCCGGCCCCGAGGAGCTGGCAACTTTCCGGCGGGTTCAGCATTACTGGCCTTGCGTCTCTTTCATTTAGCGCTTCGCTCGTGGATGGGGCACAGCATGCTCCTTCCTGTTCGTCCAAGGGTCTGAGCTAACACGGGCATCTGTAGGTTTCCGGAGCGGCTGCTGTCCTTGCCAAACTATGACCTGACACCGCAGAGAAAATATCTACACCTGTCAAAGCACTTTGTGGCGGTCTTGTGCATAGCCGCTGAGAAGAGGTCAGTTCCGGACTCGCAGTTATGCAATCCTGACAAAGATAGAGAAGCTGCAAACTGGTGGAAAGGATTTGACTCAGATCTGCCTCAACGTCTGCACCAGACCGCTTCTGGTGGCGAAGTAAATCAAGATAGATATAGATACAAGCCGCTGTTTGTCTGGCATTGTTTGATCTTGACGCCTTCGCTGATTCGTTCGTTGCTCGGATCTGACAAAGTTGATTCTCCAAATTTGAATGATGGCGGTGAAAATGATACCGCACCCCCAAGGAGAACGTTCACGGCATACGAAGCAGATCTTCAAACTCTGGCAATGTTCGATTCGTCTGGTTTGTGTCCCCCGCGTTTGAGGTCTCGATAGCATTGACGACAGTCCCATCCGGCCCTAGCTCGTAACCGTCGTAGAGAGCGGGGGCGGGACTGGAGGCGTTCGGGAATGCATCGAATTTGTCGGGCATCGCCTTTTGGCCGTTCCCTCTGTGGCGGTGATGAAGGTAATTGAGATGGGGATGAGAAGTGGGAGGAGATTGTTCCGTCGGAGCGGGGAACTTGAGAGCATCTAGGTCTGCCTGCAACTGTGCAATCTTACGATTCAGTCTGACGATACTGTCGCTCTGCTTGTTGTACGAGCACAAAAGATCCTGGTGTTTCTCGTTCAGTGTTTCCAATTGGTATTCCAGACCCTTGACGTGTCTCTCCTTGCGCTCGCGAAAGGCACGTTGCGAGGCACGGTTTTGCGCCCTTCGACGCTGGTCCTGCTTGTTAGCAATCACAGAAGCCGCGGCGTTTTGCTTGTGGAAGCCCTCACCAGTTTGGAGGGTGGCACGACCGTTTGTTCCGAGTCTGTCGACGGTGGTACACTGTCTCGACTTGTGATTTGCTGTTGAAACTCGGCGAAGGCGTCGAGCGTATCGAGATCAAGCGGGTCCCAGCCTTCGTTGGCGGGAACGCTGCCAAATCGAAACATGTCGCCCATGTTCTGTTTTGGACAACAACGGTCAACATCTTGTCCGCGTCCCAAGTCTCTCCAAGGAAAGTAAGGGTTTGAGGCTTACATCAGGAGAGCTCGACTTGGATGAATCGGCGTCCACGAGGGATTCAAAGTATGAGCTGCGATGAGCCGCAGTTAGGGGGAAGTGGTCCATTGTCGAGCGTGTCTTGTTCGAGATGGTCTCTGGTCTCCTTGTGTGCTGCTCTGGTCGGTTGATGCAACAATGTAGAATGAGAGTCGGCTTCCACTTTATGTTGCAATGGCGACTGCAGCAGTGGATTATTCTGATATGGACCTGCCGACTGAGGGAAGATATGTACACGCTAGCCAGCCAGATAAGCCAATCTGGGAAGGTCTCCTGGGTCTCCTGGGTCTCTTGGGTCCTTACATAAAGCTGAGTCAAGGCTGTGATTGGTGCTGGTGGCGAGGGGAATGGACCGACGTAGAAGGGACTTTTAGTAATGACACCTCGAGCGCCCAATACCAATAGCTGAGCCGCCGTGCGCTGCTGAAAAGGGTTAATGCCTCCAGATGTGTGCAACTCAATAACTGGGAGATCCTGTGTGTTGCGCACAGAACAAAAATGGGAGCAAACGGTCTATAACATAAAGGAAGGAGGGAAGTCATGAGCGATTCAGGGCTGTTTGGGCGATTAAATGCGCTTTCTTTGTAAGAAGCTTGGCATGTTTTAAAGGCGGGGAGCCCGTGAATGACAGACTCCGTTTGTCGCTGTGATTGGGGCTCAGCGCGATCCCCATCGTCAACGCCGACGGCAATTCGGTAATTCTCCGTATCGCAAAGATTGTGCACGTTGGATAGACATTGGGATTCAAGGGATTGTAAGGCTTGGGGCCTGCGCAGGGAGCCTGAAGGGGAGGAGGAGGATTGTGTCGGAACAACTCAAGGGCCGACTTACTACTGCTGGTACTGTGGTCAGTCTCCACGAGGTCCCCGTGAGTGAAACCTAGGACCTACGAGTCAGGATGGCTCTACGAGGTCATGCCCCGTCAAACAAAGTAGTTTCTCTGACTCGCAAAACAATTCAAACGGGCTAAGCTGGGCCGCAAAAGAACGTGGATTTATTACCACTATCATAGCGGCGCTAATCATGTCGCGGCTCTATGAAACGTTTCTCACTGGCAAAGGCGCACCTTGTGCGCCCTCTGGGGTACTCGGCGCATACACCCCGTTCAATTGATTTCCCAACACATAGGAACACGAACCATGGCGCATGCTCCCGGTCTGACAAAAGACATTGTGATTGCAACACCTCAACTGCGAGTGCTTCTATAATTTGGGACCCGCAGGCTTCTTCCGCCTCGACTTCCGAAGTCCTAGTGAGCTTGTTGGGTCCTAATCCCCAAATAGCTATCGCGAGGTCAACTCTCCTTGGCGGGCAAAGTGGAGGTATGAACTTCAATTGAGACGGAGCGCCCCTCGACACTTGCCTCACCAGCGCCGCTTTTAATCACCGCTCAATTTGCATTCACTATTACATATATTGAGAAGGAAGCTCTGTGTAAATAACCACACAATGCGGCCACTTCTATAGTTATTCGTACATCTTCCCAATTTCGTTATCGTCCAACCCCCCTACCAGTCTCGAAATACCTCAGTTGGGAGTAGCCACAAGTTATTCCCACTGCCATCATCCGGTGCCATCGTGTACCGTCCCCTCGATGAAACTTTACGTGAGTCGTTGAGCACCACACATGAGGCGATTCATGGCAGCAGACGGATGTCTATAATCAAATCATCTTTCTTCATACCGAACCGACCAGTTCCGCGTCGTCCGTATGATCATTTGTTCCGAACTGCCACTCTCCATTGACTCTATGTCATCTCGATGCGCGTCAGTTTGGACTGAAGTCACAGTCTCCCCTCCAGAAATATCCGGCCGGAAAATGGGCTTAGGAACTTGGATTTTGTTGTCCTTTCCAGACTCCACAGCGGTCGTCGTCGTCTCATATTCGTCTTTGTTATCCTTACCTGAGACCGAGCTGAGCATGTAGATACCCTGTACTCTTCCTTGGGATCTGCTGTATGGGTTGGACGCGTTGCCGCCCACGCTGTTCACGATGGCGCTTGAGTGAAGAGGTCGCAAAAAAGGCTTAAGCGCGGTGATGGAGGTGCAGAGGACGGAATATTCCAGAGCCGCTTCGGTTAATATGTGCGGTATGATGCTTGTGACTGTTGGATTGTCGTTTTCCGCAGGAGAGAGGTAGACCAGACGAAGTGCGATGAGGGGTATGAGGCTGAGCGACTGCGTCAGATGGTGAGAGGGAGATGGGAGAAGTGGAACAACATACAAAAGTCGGCAGCCGAAAGCGGCCAGGATCATTACACGCTTGCGGAGCCTCATCTGGAGATTCCAAATGAGGAATATGGAGAGTGCCCACAATGCGACCTCAATGGCAAGCCCAACAGCTTCAACTGCAAGCCATCGGTGATACTATGGAGTGTCAGACTGAGGATGGTCAAGTCCGACGGGGCTGGACGCGACATACCAGTGTCTCTGAACCGTCCAATGTGGCCCAAGGGCGCGCCAGGTCGCCACGCAAAGCGATGACAAGAGTTGATGCAAGCACCCATACACCTGTCACCCCAGCGAGGATATATGACATTCGGACTTGTGGACCATAGCGAGTTAGACGTCCGATAAAGAAGGCAGTCGAGATCTTGGTCAGGCCAGTGGCGATGATGTAGGATAACTGGCTTGTATAGAGCGCCTATTAAGGATCTAGTTAACCGATGAGAATCTCAGCCACTCAGTGTTAAAAGTCGTACCCCTTCTACTTCGTCCAAGTGCGAGTCGGAGATATTGTTTAGAGGAAGTCCATAGCCGTAATGTACTGCCCAGAAATTGGCCGCTACATGCAGCACAACCAACACCTAGGAAGATTTACGGGTCAGAGATCATCGTGTATTGCTGTGAGATACTACTACTCACAAAGGCGGCCAAGATGGTATAATCGTCGAGTCCCCGACTTTGGTTTCTTCCCAGCTTTACCCAGATTCGCACCCCGAGGGACAAGGCAGCCCAGCTGAAAAACAATCCAGTTGCCGTGCTGAGCCAACTGCCACGATTTTCAGACATTTTGAGGAGGAGAAGGAAGAAGTGCGTGTCCTGGCTTGCTCGAGTTCAGTTGGCTGCGTTTTGAAGCAGCATCTATAACCCTATCGGAAACGCGGTAAATGGTATCCGCGTCTGATTGGGGACCATTCACACCATCAAGGATTAATAGGGGCATCCAGTACCCTCGCCCAATCTACAGCTGCATGGATGCTTCAGCCTCCAGATAAGCCGCTGCAGGGGTTAAATGTTGTCCTCATCGGTACTCGCACGCCCGGTGTTTTCGGGGGGGTGTCCTCGCTGTTGTGTACAGACTGTGCAAATCTGCAAAAGCAAAAACGGCCAATTTTATGCCTTGTAGTTCGCGTCTTGAGCAGAATATGTCGAAGTGACTAGAAGACCACATCTACAGAAAGAGGAACGAATTCAAAGAGGGGGGCGGAGAGGAGGACTGGACTATAGTAATCGAGATCTCCCGCGAGCCTGGAAGCACAAATCTGTGGTAGGTCAAATGGAAAATAGTCCTCATTGTCATGGCTACAATTCCATTTGACCTTCTTTGTTTCTTCCTCTGTTAGGACTGCCGCTTGTGTTTGATTACGATGAAATTAGCATCACCATAGGTCGTGAACATTTTCTACATGGTTGTCAAGACCATATTTCTGAAAGTGCCGCTCCTCTTGCGCTACTTGCAAAAGTCTCTCGGCTCGCTTGCTTGTGTATGGCTCGAGAAACGCGCTTCGCTACGAAGTGGTATCATGGTGTGACCCTCTCCGGGGGGATTCCGGTAGAAGATGAGCCGCGCTCAGAACAGGCAAAACAGGACATTTGGTTACTGAAAGAGGTGTGGGCCGGGGGCAGTGGTTTGCGCGGGACTAACTAGCGCTTCCGTTGCGCATAATCTGCCCCCCTCCAGCTCTTCAAATGCTTCAAATACCCCGGCCTCGAGCGCTTCGTGCATGTCTAGTTAATCCATCGTTCAATGCTCATGTATGTGGAGGTCAACGCCCCTGGATACTATCTCATGAACATGCCGGGGTACGGAGCGGTCCAAGAGCCACCACGTGTGCTGCTGTAAGTACCTTGTCTCCCGTCGCATTTCTCTGGCTTTCTCTGCCTCCTCCTTTTTGTCTTCTTGTAACCACGTTCTTCTGTCGCGGGATTGCTACTCCATTACAACCTTTACACCATGGCTTCTCCTATACCTCATCTACGAGCGGGCCGGACAGGCGACGTGGTGGAGATGACTGCCCGTCCAAGGTCAGCCGCTTCAAAAGAAGACACCGATGTTATCGTCGGTCGGGCAGATGTTGACTCGGAGTCTGATGGGCCTCGCGATGAGTTCAAATCCACCAGCGCCGACGAGATCAACATGCGCCGGATGGGAAGAAACCAACAGCTCGTCCGATATTTCCGCGTCATCTCAATGGCCTCGTTTGTTGCCATTGCCACGGCTGCCTGGGAGATAGGCCTTTTCAACATCAGTCCGGGCTTGACTGACGGAGGCCGACCTGCTTTGGTCTATTCTGTGCTTTGGAACTTCGTGGGCTTTGGCCCTATATATCTAAGCATGGCTGAGATGGCCAGTATGGCGCCTATCGCCGGTGCCCAATACCACTGGGTGAGCGAATTCGCACCCGAAAGTCTCCAGAAAGTTCTCAGCTACTATACAGGGTGAGCATATCCTTGAAACCCTCGTCTTTTCCCCTTCCTCTGGGCTGACCGCCGCGCAGCTGGACCTCAACCATGGCCTGGCAGGCAGGAAACGCACTTGGCGTTTTTCTCGTCGGCACTCTAATTCAGTCCATTATTTCCATCAACAACCCCAACTACGCTTTCCCCAAGTGGCATGCTACACTTCTCGTCATCGGCGCCGTTTCCATAGCCTTTGTTGGAAACGTGTTCGGTCACAAGGTGCTTCATCTCTGGCAGAATGCGGTTTTTGTCATCCACGTCCTAGCATACTTTGCGTTCATCATCCCTATATGGGTGAATGCCCCACGAGCCACGACCAATGAAGTCTGGACCGGGTTCACGAATGAGGGTGGCTGGTCTAGTACCGGATTCGCCGTGTTGGTTGGCCAACTTTCTGGCATTTACACTCAACTTGGTCTTGATACCGTATTGCTCAACAAGTCTCATTGAAAACTCTCTGGCTAATCTCTATCTAGGCCGCGCATATGTCCGAGGAAGTCAAAGACGCCGCGAAGTCTGTACCCAAGGCGATGATTAGCATCTATATCATCAACTTCTGTCTCATTTTCCCGGCCGTTCTTACGGTGGCCTACCACATCCCCAATATCGACGACGCACTTGCCGATCCCACGTTATATCCTACCATCTATGTTCTACGACAATCCATGTCCACTGCATGGATGACAGTCATACTCACTATCATAATCGCGTTACTTATCTGCTCAAACATAACATATCTGGCTGCGGTCACTCGGGATATTTGGGCCTTCGCCCGAGATCAAGGATTCCCTTTCTCCAACTGGATTTCGAAGGTCGACGAAAAGCGCCACATTCCCACAAACGCCATTATCGTCACAAGCATTTGCAGCATCTGCCTCAGCTTGATATACCTCGGCAGTCCCGTTGCCTTCTATGCCATCACGTCTTTGCTCTCCGTGGCCCTGCTCCAGTGCTACTGTCTCAGCATTGGCTGCCTCCTGTGGCGGAGGATTTGTCACCCTGAGACCCTGCCTCCAGCCAAGTTCTCGTTGGGCAAGTACGGCATCCCTATCAACGCCGCAGCCGTTGCATTCGCTCTATGGAATTTCTTCTGGTGCTTCTGGCCTACTTATTTCCCCGTAACGGCGTCCAACTTCAATTGGGCCTCGGTACTTTTTGGCGGCACTTTGATTGGCGCGACTATTCATTTTATTTTCGTAGCGCGCAAAAGTTACCATGGGCCTGTGGCTTTGGTCGAGGGCAGGAATGTGCATATCAACTGACCAGTGGAAGATTCTTGCCGCCTTTTTACTGTGTCTCAGATCTGCGTACCAATCAAGAGGCGGAAGGAATATATTTACTATCTAGACCATCGCGGATTGTGGTCTCAAGACACTATCTTTTTCTGCAGAAATGGCATTCGCAGGCTCTCTTCACCATGTCTGGGACACTCGGGAAATAGAACAGCTGCATTTCGCGCTGACATACCGAATACTCCACAGTGCATTTAATAGCAGCATCGGTGTCAGTTAAACTTAACCTATCAACATCCTCTGTTCCCCTTTCTTCGCCTTGTCCGTAACAGGCATGGCCCCCTATCACTGGTGGACGCGGCTGGTCAGTGGTCAGTGGTCAGCCCATCTGACTCGAGTGTGCTGAGGATGAACAGTGAGCATGGGGGGTTCACACTTGTCGAAAAGAGGTTAGCATATGTTCTCTTGGCTCGGGGATTGAAAAGAGACCTTGGACGAGCCTTGAGTCTCACGCGCCCTCACGCTTTTATCTCCTGCTCCCACTCACTCAGCCTCCGCCTCCGCCACTTACTTGGCCATTGTATGCACGACATTGAACGAACTACAAGTATAGTACACCACGAGCACCGTTGCTTAGTAATTGGTTATGCCTTGGCTTCGAGACGCCCTATACCGAGTACGTGGTGGCTAATTGATCCGTGGCATTGGCATTGGCCCTTTCGTCAAAGATTCACCCCTGATTGTTCACAGCCTTCGGACAAGCGAGATTTGCCCTCACAGAAAGAACATCTGTGAATGGTGGCGCTTGAGCCCTGCAGCTATACTACAGAATTAGTCGGTACCTCGTGACCGCGGCTGATATCTTCGCCTTCGGTAGCATGATCCTGGGGAGAGGCTTCATTATGCCTGTTGCTAAATACAAGGTTGCTGATGCTTTCACCTTCTTGAACTATGACAATCCAGACCATAACGCCTCGCACCGAAGAGTGGTCAAATCACACATCTCCAGCAAATACCGGGCAGCCATCCGCCAGCAGACCCAGCCTGGCTACGCATTGCCGCATCAAAATCCAAATAACAAAGTCAAAAACCCAGCGCCCAAGCGAAGGCGCAAGAGGACACAAACCTCACTTGAGTCAGACCCAGTGCAAGATCACCGATGGTCGTGCGCGCCCTCTCCACTCCAAGTCAGCTTCAGCGGTATGCGGACGGATCCATTCAGATTCTTGCCCGGGCAAGAAACACCATGTGTTGCCAGGGCCCTGGACTATTACACGCAGGCCATTTCGCCCTCCATGCAGCCATTGTTTCTGGCGGTCAACATGAGCAATCCATTGACTGTTTGGATTTATCCTCTAATCCTGTCACATGAAAGTGCCTATCATGGAGCGGTCGCGCTGTCTCAAGCGTATTTGGAAATGTCTCAAGCACCAACGCGCAAGCCATCTTTAGAGGTTGCTTTCCATCGGCGCAAAGCCGTGTCAATCTTGTGCAGCCAACTTTCTCATCTCCGTGGCCCTCCGAACGATGGCATCCTGATGACTGTGCTGGCTTTGGCATGCCTCGATGTTTTGTACAGAGAGGACAGAATCGCTAATCGCAAGGGGCTAGCACTCATCGTTGCGCTAAAGGGGGGACTTGACAATCTGGGATTGCGTGGACTCGTCAAGGCCTTTCTTGTTCAGTTTGACTACTTCTGGATGCTCGAAACCGGGGCCGGGACCATTTTCCCTTTCACAAAGCGCAAAAGCCGGAGAGCATATCCACAACATCCGCTCAACGACGATCTTCTTTCATTGATTACGAGACTACCGCCCGGGTTTGCTGCAATTGCCCGTCAGGGCACCTTGGGCCTCGACACTATCCGGATCCTCTCACGAGTAAGCACGTTTCTTGAATCTAAAATCGCCTACCCCCCACGTCCGATTGAGGAACATCCAGCTTCAGATGGCCAAGATTACCCGGACCTTTTCGAAGTATGTGCCTGTCTCCAGTCGTCCGCTTGCACTGAGCATAGCTTGGAGAAGAACTTAATCCTCGCGGTGATTATGTTCGGCTTCGATATGAATAATCCCAATGGCTCAATATCGAGAGTTGCAGCATACAGAGGCTCGAGGCAGGAGTTGATCCGGTCTCTTCCCTTTACCCGAGCGCAGAATCCGGAAGAGAGAGCTTGCTTGATTTGGATCATGATGATTGTGATGAGATCTTTGGGTTTGGAGCTTCGGCTTGCTACTCAAGCAATGGCTCTTAGTAAAAGGCTCTTTGCGCAGTTCGCAGAGGCTAGATCGTGGAACGCTGTGGAGTCAGCAATGCGTCGCTTCTTCTGGTACGAGCCACTTGCGGGAGAGTTAAGGAGCCGCTGGCGACAAGCGCTAGATGAATACCAGAAAGAATTTCCATCAACCCGGACTTTGGTGGTGGCCATGACAGACTCGATGGGCGCCATTGGAAGCCAAAAACTCAGTCACGTCAGCGTATCGAACCGGGATGAGAACGACGGATATGTAAAGGAAGCTGCTCAAGAACGCGAAGTTGCCGCGCTGCCGCCCATGCTGACATTAGATACGTACTTAACAGAGGTACAGTCACTGTAATTATACGATGTATATATGGACAGCACAAGGGGATAAGAAACATTCTCGACATACGTGCAAAATGGGTGAATAGTCCGGGTGCAGACTGGGTATTCCGTATCAAGTCTGTGTCAAGCATGTCTTGCCGCTTTAACCCGCAAAATATATTCATCTTCGATTTCCCCAAATTCGACCCTCGAGCGCGTTCCGCGACCTGGTCCCCCGTCCCACGCCATGGCCCCGTCAACGCAGAAAGCCGGCCAAAAGCGCAAAGTCGCCTTCGACCAGCCTCACCAATCATCGACATCACGCAAGCGACAGAAACATCATGATGCTCGAGCCATCCCGGTGCAGCGACCCGAGGCGGTCGTCGCTGCAAGCGGGGATCTTAATGTGGCCTCTTTCATCAAGGCCAGGGAGTTTGAGATTGGGGCCCTAGAGAAGAGCATGCGCAAGGCCAAAAAGCAATTGGCCACACGAGCGTTTCAGCAGGTCCCTAGACATATGAGAAGGAGAACCGCCAGCCACAATGCCAAAAGGGTGCCTCGAAGACTGCGAGGGAGGGCAGAGCGCGAGGTTAGTCCCACCATTTACTTGTGCACAACATGCTGCGTACTGACAGTCGCTGACCAGGGGCGCTATAGATGAAAGACGACAATACACCTACGGTGACGAAGCGAAGGCGAACTCCGTCGCGGAAATTGAGACTGCGCTTGGAGACTGCCAAATTGCTCAAGACGTTCAACCAAAATCGCAAGACTGTGCGTCAGAGGAAGAAAGAGGTCCAGGCCAATGCGAAGCAGCCCGATCCAGAAAACCATGTCCTGACCTCTCGTATCCCGCGGTTGAAGAAGAACAAACTGGCCGAGCCTCCGAAGGCAACGACGAAATACAAGAGGAGACAAGTCAACAAGACATGGATACCCACGCACCTTTGGCATACTAAACGTGCGCATATGACTCGACCCACGGAGCCGTTGTGGAGAATGTCAATCCCATTGAGCCCCACGGAGAAGAGTTACAGGTCAAGTCACTGGGCCGCTGCTACGCAGGGATGCATAGCGTGGGATACCAGCTATATGTCTACAATTGCTTGTTTGGGAACAGAAGCGGCGTTGGATAGCATGCTTAAGGCACTTGCATTCAGCCCACAAGGACTCTCCCATGCTATTCATAAAAAGTGGAAGGCTGGCACCCGATTTGCTCACGGATGGATCTCAGAACGGGACAACGAAAAGCGTCCTATTGCCCCGGTGACGGTGATCTGGTTTCAACGGCAGCAGAGTGAGGCATCGGGTCCGCAGGACGGCCAAGGCGAAGGCAAGATGGACGTTGACGCAGGCGACCAGTCTCAGATGGAGATTGAGGAGGGCGAACAAGCTCAGTCCAAGTCTGCGCTTCCGAAGACCAAGAGGAAGACGACAAAGCGGAAGACCAAACTTGATCACAAAATCCTAATTCGAGTCCATCCATCTGCATTTTATCAGTGCTGGCAGGAGCTGTTGAAAGTCGCCAAAATGCAAAAACCGCAGGCTCTGATTCAAGATCTACGTTTTGAGATCGGAAGCATTGACGCCCAAGGGCCAGGCTCAACCGAGGCTTTGCTGGGTGTGCTTCGCCCTTTTCCAGCACCTGCTGAGGGTGCCGATTCGATGGGGTCGTTGTGGACGTCTCTTGCTGGACTCAATAATCCCAGCATCCTCCCGCAGAATGCCATGCTATCATTTGATATTCTAGATCCCAGACTCAATCATCCGCCCAAACGGATTAAGATCCCCAGCAACTCCGAACGAACTTTCATGGATGAGATTCTGGTTTCTTGGCCTCCCGACAACAGCTCAGAGTCCTCTGCTCTACTCTCACACAAAGCACGCTGGCGGATCGGTCAGACACTGCCATCGCAAAAGGCAATCAATCGACGAAGAGCACTTGCATTACCGGGCCATGCACCGGCTGTCACGGCCAAAGATCCCCAAATTCCAGTGATTCTTCTTGCATCCAGGGCGGAAAACAGTGCTTCTAAAAACTCCCAAGGGACGTGGACCGTTCTCCTTCCCTGGACGTGCGTCGACCCTGTGTGGCGGTCACTGATGTTCTACCCTTTGTCATCCGGCGGCACTCCGCGTTTTGGGGGTCTACATCAGAAACAGCAGCTGGCATTTGAGCAAAAGGTCCCGTGGTTTCCAGGAGATCTGCCGGGCACGGAGGCGGGTAAAGCCTGGGAGCGCACGGAAAGCGAAAAGAGATTCGATTCGTGGATCAGACGACCTCCTAAAAGTAGAGTTGCCTGGGCCACATTGGACTTAGGGCTAGGAAGACGTGGGGAAATCGGGAGAGGTTGGTCTTGCGATTGGGAGTATTTGTTTGAAGACACCAAAGACCAAGCTCACACTGAAGCCGGGTCCAACTTGAAACCAGATAAAAGCGCCTCTCCACAGACAGCCGCGGTCCCGCTTCTTCCGCAGCGACAGCGAAAAGCAGCCCGAACTCAAGCAGCCCGAGAGGCTGAGGACAAAGATCCAGCGCGTCGACGTAATACATCCAGCCCGGAAAGTGAAGGAGAGCCCGAGATTGTGCCAGAACTTGTGAAGGAAGTCAAATATACTCAACTTTCCCCCAGTCAGGGCCTATCACTGTTTAGGCAGCCATCAAGTGTCAGCCTTCCACCACTTCCTGTACTGGTCACGGTTCGCATCACCTTGCTCGACAAAGGGACCCCATCCCCGGCAGCGCGGATATACCGCCTCCCATCATTACCCAAACCCACACCAACACGTTGCCCTGCTGAATCAGTGGCCACCGGGTCGGACAAATCTCAGCAGACGCAGCCACAGAGCTGGAACTCTGACGGACCACCGCCTGGGCAACGTCCGCCCGCAGCAAGCATGACAGAGCCCTCAACCTCGTCAACAACCACCACTTGCGACCTTCGCGCACGCTGGCTTGCTCTCGACAACCATTCCGACGCCCAGGGCCACTCCGGCAATTCACACTTCCCAAAAATCAAGACCAACAAGTTCTCTATCCCCCGTCATCAATTCAGCTACCCACGCGAATCCCTTGCGAAGATCAATGTGCTGCCCAAAAATGCGCCAAAAGAGATTGTGGAGAAATTTGGACCGGACAGCGCGTTCGGAAGAGGAGATGGGGAGATACCCAAGGAGAAGCCGCCACCTCCAAAAGAGAAGAGCAAAGGGAAGGCAAAGGGCCAAGAGAAGGGAAAAGAGATGGCCGTTTGTCCGTTGGAGGATGGCGAAGCACAGGCAAACCCTCTCGATAAGGCTTCTGGCGACGTGGAAGACCTTACCTCTCTCCTAATCAACCCGTTCGTCCAGCCGACGGAATGGGATAAACACATCCCTTGTCCTGACGTGCATGATCTCATCGGCTTCGTCACGAGTGGCGGTTACAACCTAGCTGCAGGTCGGGGCACGGCGGTGGGGAGCATTTGGGGCCAGCGCGTGATGGAGGGATGGCAGGGAGATGCAATGCAGGACAACGGGTTAAGTGAGAAGCAGAGAGACAGACGACGAAGGCTATGTGTCATCCGTAACGCAGGAGAGAATGTCGGACGGTTGGGCATCTGGGAAGTTTGCAGCTGAATGGTATAGTTCAACGTGGTCGATACGAATGGAGTACTTGGACTTGGTACATATTGCATAATTCAACTCTCCGTGACAATTGACAAGGCAATTGTGGTTGTTCGAGAGAAAGGCGTCGTTGTCATTACTATCTTCGCCCTCATTTACTTGGTCCTATCTTGGCGCTTGACACTCCAAGCCCTTCACGTGGCTGGAATAGGAGGCGATTGGGCAAACGCGCCACTCTTGACCTCAAGAAGACGGTGGTGCTTATGGCATTGCCTTCACTGCACTTTTCTCTTAAGGCCTTCAACCGCCTTGGACCACAGAACACGAGACCCCCACGGCATCCCCGAAAGGAATTCAGCAGCCCTCCATTTTTAGTCTGCCTGAAGAAAAAGGTCGGAACAGCGGCCAGACAGAGCCTGCTCTTTTTGGTCCTTGTCAACGGCAGATTCAGTGAGTGATGCCGAAGGTTTAGCACCGCTTTCTGGGCCCGCGAGATATGGCGGAAGATGTTGGAAGGGTATGCGTAATGTGATACCATTGACCAGTCTTGTCAACGGTGTCTGTCCTTCTGTGTTCTGAGAGAGACTCTGCCTGTTTATATGCATTTCATGCTATGCCAGCAAGGCCATGTCTGAGCATTCTATAAGGGAGCCATATCTGTACGGCACTGCATTTCTAGTCTCGGAAGGAGAGGTACCTTTGCACATTGCGATCGTGCAATCAGCGACAACACTGCACTTTTAGGCCTCGGGAGGCGCTTTATATTCTTTCGAGGTAGCTCGCAGTCCAATCTCGCCCGGGTTGCCGGGGGGTTGAGTGTTGCTGTATTGGCGGTTGCCGATCCGTCACTACACTGCACTTTTAGTCTATAAGATGTTGGCGTAGTCTCGCTAACGCCCAAACAGGGAATTGAGAACCTTGAACACTGCACTTTTTTAGCATCTGCCTACAGTATCATGGATGATTGTGCCAAGACGGAACGACAGAGCGCTTCACAGCCCACCAGCATCCTCCCTCAACTTAACCGGCCAAGGCTGACTCAAACCTGTCGAAGCACACCGCACTTTTAGGCCGTGCGTCTGAACGGCAAGTTTTTGACAAAGAGTCTGGGACGGGGTGGGAACAGAGCAATCAGTGCGCTCGCGCTCTCCGGGCGTCACTTCCACTGCATTTCTAGTCTAGGAGAGGTGGTCATGCACAGTCTTACGGCGTACTCGCACTTCAACCAGAGGAAAGCCACTAAAAGTTACCTGGAAGGGATTGTTGGGTTGGGGGGACACCTAATATGCACTTCCCGTCGGAGAGCGGGAAGTCCACTGCACTCTTGGTCTATGCGAACGGAGAACGATGGCAGGCAGCATGTTTCCCCCAACCGGTAACCGTCGGTGATGCCCATGTGTCTTGTACTGCATTTTTAGTTTAGTCTGTGGGAATAGAGAGCGAATATTGGGTAGTAACGATTGCTGAGGCCATCTCCGTGTCATCATGAGAGTTTCTCTGTATTTAGAGTCTGTACGACCGGCAAGCCAGCTAGAGAGACGGGGGCAACAGCGGACAACACTACAATTTTAACCTCGAAGGCAAGGTATATATTAACGATCGGAATGACTTGCATTCACGCCAGCATCTAGTCATGATGGCTTCTGACTCGATTTTGTACAAAGGAGCTAAATACACGCGAGCACGACCAACAAGAGGGTATCACAACTCCTCCGGCCTAATAGCTCGGAGACCACACCACGCAACCAAATCCGTCAGAGAGCCCATATGAGAAACTGTCGCCATGACATGTCACGAGAACCCAGCTTGTTCTCTTCTTTCATTCACGTCGTGAGATCCTGGGTCTTGTAACCCATTCCACATAGATGTGGTGCTTGGTATATGCGCCGTTTCCTCCGCCCGAGGGGCAATGCCAGCAAGCTCCGAACTTGCCTCCTAGGCAGGCCCCCCAAATTAAATCCCAGTATCATGGCACACCGTCAACTCCTTCCTCTTCCTGTGAGGACCAACCGACATCTCGGTCTTAAATGGCATAATTCTCTGCATGTAAGAATATCTCGTCCTTGCCTGAATCCTTCCATACCTCACTCTGCAGCCGTGCCACCGTATTCGCCACATCCGTCCTCATCTCCGGCGGTCCGCAGACATAGACACAGGTCCTGCGTCCAAATTCTTTGCTCAGCCCTTTGAGCATGTACGGAATGTCGGGTCTCCCGTACTCTGTCCGCCAACCATCTCGTCTCTGAGATGTGACATTGGTAGGTAAGAAGGCGAACCGCATGAGGTTCTTTTGGAATTTGGTGGGTGTCTGAGGGAAGCCGAAATCAAAGCTGCGGGTAGCTTCAATCTGGGCTTGAGAGATTGTCGAGACGCGTTTCTCGGCTGGTGGAGGGGGAAAGTATGGTTGCGCCTGTTCGGTCCCAGGTGGCGCAAGGTGACGAGGAGCGGCGACGTATGCTTGGGGGAGAGCGGTGATAGTGTCCTCAAATTCGCGCTTGAGGTCGGGTTCCTGTTCCATCATCACTAAGGCCGAGTTCCGCTTCGATCCTCCCGTTGCTTTGTCGAGCGCGTCAGTGATCTTGTCTCTAATGCCACTGAGTCGGTGTTCCTTGGGTTCAGGGAAGGGCTCATATCGTTTGGTAGCCGTGATGAAGAAGTGGCATTGAACTGAGCCCGGAGGAGCACATTCTCTGCATATCCGAAGTTCCTCCTTGAACCACTCCATAATGTCTGGCCGCTTCATAGCCCAGATGACATGCACTTTGGTGGTCGTGGCCTTACCGTCGCGCATGCGTTTGATCAGGTCGAGCAATTGGCTGGCGATGGCGGTGATGCCGCTGCCGCCGGCAAAGAAGATGACTTGGTCAAACGAGGCCATTTGTCGTTGCATGCCGCCGTACGGTCCTTCGATGAAGGCTCGGTAAGTCTTGTAGGGGCCCTTCTTGATTGAGGTGTCGAGGACTTTGCGAGTGAAGCCCGAGAAGGGTCTGAAGACCAAGGTCATGTCTCGGTATTGCTCGCCATATTCAGACGGGAAGTCTTCACTGCACAAGGATGCAATGGTGAAGGGGTGATTCTCGAAGACTGCAATCCCAGGCATCCTCAAGTATGCGTACTGGCCAGGACGCCACCTCTTCTGTGTTGGGATGGTGACCTTGACAGCATTCTCGGGCAGAACGGTGACAGCAGACTCTTCTCCGATGAGCCACGATGATCGGAATGGATTCATCCAGTTCAAGAAGAAGAGACGAGTGAACAGCGATACAAGCATCAGTGCCACTGTCGAGTAGAGGTACGCCCATGATGTCAAGTAGTTGTGACAATGCCAGAACATGAGGCCAATGAAGGCCCAAGCGACCGGAATATGCAGGAAGACGAAGAGCTCGTATGCTTTATGGCGAAGAATGGGAATGGAGTGGAGGGTGAGGAAGATCAGGGGAGCGATGGCTGCAATGCCTGTCGTGTAGACCCAATATTGCTGGTTGAAATAGAGTTTGAACGTCGCAAAGCCAGCGGGATCTGTGACCGATTGATACCAATATGGGACAGCATGGATGATGGCAAATATGACACACAAATACGCTGTCCAGCGATGGAGCACAATCAGTCGCTCCGCCCCGATTCCGGTCAAAAAAGCCACAGGGTTCGCTTTGTTAGCCAACATGACTACCCACGGCAGGAGGGAGACGGACATCATGCCGGCCCGCACTGCCAGCGGAGGAGATCCATATGCCATGGATGCGTAGAAGAGTGGGCTGGGCAGGAAACAGTAAAGTAAGGAGGACACAAGGCATATGAGCATGACCACGACAACTCCGAGGGAAGGGAATGTAAAACTCCATTTGCCAATCTTGATGGCCGGGATGGGTCTGTAGAAGATCCATCGAAACAGGGCGATTGTGTTGTTGAGGGGTGCAATGGCCGAGACTGCTGCTTGTTGCTGTACCTTCTCGGCCACCAGAGGTCCAGTGGGCGGAAAAAAATGCCTTGTCGAACCATCCGTTTGGGCACTAATTGCACTGGGCAGTTCATAGTCGCCATATCCTTGGTGCGGTGAAGCACCCAGCGGGCTGAGTGTCGAGGCGGAGTTGATGACTTCTTCTTTGTACAGAGCCGTTCGAATCTTGTCTCCCCAGTAGTAGTATAGCCGTTTGAACGTCGTGGACAGCACCAGGATAATTCCGATGTAAACGAAAATAAGACCGTACTTGCTTGCGTTCTTGAAGGGATCATGTTGAATGGCTGCAACGAGGGCAGGAGGCGTCGTGCTGTTGATCGGGATGTTGACTCTCTTGACCAGGTCCTCCATGCTCTCACCAATCCCTCTTCCTGCCAACTGCGCCAATGCTTCTGACGATACTGACGGCATCTTCGCCTTGGTGTGTATATACCTTTTCCCGCAATCGACGGCTGGCCCAGTAGTGTGACAGACCCAGGGAATGGGTGGGAAGCGGTTTCTTCAAGCGAAACTTGATGGAATGGCTGTGTATGTGCGCTGAGGGAAAAGAGGCCTGCGGTCAGACGGTCGAATCTATTGGATGTCTGTTCGTTTTCGCAGAGTGGTCATGGATTTTGAGACCGCTCAGTGGACCCGCCTTCTGAGGTATGCAGTTCTCGCGAATGTTTGGTAAGAAGAGAAAGCCTGCTCTCTCAAGAAAACGAAGGGAACGACTGGCAGCGAATGGAAGGAATGGAAGGACAGAGGAACCCAAGGCCTCTCGGACGTTGGGAAGGGAGGGAGGGCAAGGCGGGCGAGAGGTGCGATATAGAACTCTGGGATCATGCGGGAGAAGACATTGTTCGGCGTGAGAACTGAGGAGGATGTGGTAGTGGTGGTAAAAGGCCTCAACGGCCGCGCGTGCGAGAGCGATTTGCGCACCCCGCTACTCACTCTACTCACGGTGATATCGACCCAAAAGAGTAACGACACGATCAGCTACCAGTTGAAGGCAGCAATAGCACCATTCGAAGAGCAGAGCTATCGAGCTCTGGAGGTTCCAGACAGTCTTCCA